AACGTCACTGCATTCTTTGATCCACTGCATCCATTATTTTGACACACCCACTTTAGTTTCATAGAGGAGTAGCAGTTAAGAACGCTATCATGTCCTTTGGAGAGATATTGCCTAATTCCGTTATAAGTGTTGATAAGTAAATAGGGAGTTGATAAGTAAAGTCTGAGTCTAGCGAGACTATCATATTTCTATGTCAGAATGTGTTATAGATATATATATTAAGTATAATTATTATTAAGTATATTATTATATTAATTAGAATAATATATTATATTAACATTGTTTATTATCTCTTAGTTCCTACAAAATTTATAAGTTTTATCAGAACAAAAGAATCAGTTTGAATAGCAACGAATTCTGGATAGAACAAGATTCAATTCTGGATAGTTATCAGAATCTATTTTTTAATCTCTTCATGGATTTTAAAAAAATTATTCAGTAAAATAAACTAACTGGTTAGTTCTTGATTCATCTAATTATTTTCTAATTGAACAAAATTGTCGTATAATGTGTTTTCTTCTCACAGATCCTTAATCCAAACATTTTCACCCTACGTATTAACTACCAAACTACGTATTAACTCCCACAACCCGATTTGTTATTTCAATATCATGATTACTAATATAATCAAATAGTTCACATAATTCGTTGTTGTTAGTCAACAGAGCATCATAATTATCTTTCAATGTCTCTCATCGATGTCTGTAATTCGCTAAGGTCTTATGACCAGACATAGAAAGACTTCTCAATCTTATATTAACATAATTGCGATGGTGTGAAGAATCTTCCAACTGAAGTCAATTTTTAGAGATTATTTCAATCTTTACTTTTTTTATGAAATAAGAAGTAAGTACTTAAGGTGGCGTTTGATTCATAAATATTTTCATCTCAGACAAAGGTTTCTGATGGTCAAACTTGATTATGTTTATAACATCATTCCAAAACCAATGTTATAACAGTGATCCATTGCATTATTAAAACAGATTGATTAATTAATAGATTCTATTAAAGCAATCAAGACCTTTTTCTCTTAGGTTTTATTTTCGTGAATTTTGCTGGGCTACTACGATATGCAGAAATGAGCAAAATGGGATTATGATTTGCTAGGTACCCGGTAACAAGAAACAATGGCAACGAAACCATAGAAAATCTCGCAACAGTCCTCAGTTTTCAACCAAGCAGTTTTAAGAATCAACACTGCACTGTGGAAAAAGTTGGTCCATAACTAAGTACTTGCTAGAAAAGTGATATGAAATAGAAAGACATCCTTAGTGACGCGAAAATTCGTACAACCACCAACCTGGTTTGACACAGTAACTACTATAGGATGACTTTATTCATTAGAATAGACCTCAGGCTGTTGGCAAGTTGTCTGACTTCGAAAATACATCGAATGTTGTCGACTAAAGAAAAGAACTTTTTATCCTCCATATCGAGGCAATGTTATTTTACAGATAATGGTTATTTAAGAGCAAGTTTCTTAATAGGACTCCAATTGTTCATTCAATTAAGGTCTTATTATAGTCACCTGTTATGTAGTTTCTTGTCATGCAAATTCATGCAACCATTCGCCCCAAATGCAGGTTTATCATCAGTAATCCTACAAACATATATTTTAAGCCTTGGTTATTTATGGAAGTTCCATTACTCTTCGTCAAATTTTGCAGTGTCTTGTCAATATTTTATGTACTTTCTTTCAGATCGGCATTTGGCAACTACAACCATTACAACAGGTTACCTAACTGATCATTATGACCTGCATTACCCTATTAACAATGAATCTGTTAGAGGTAAGAGAACCTGCATTACTTTATCAACAATATGACTCTTACGGTTGTAAGAGAATGTGGGCTCTGTTTAGAAGGAAATGATATCTGTAGTCACAGTCTTTCAATACGGTTCATGAAGAAAATATTGGGTTGTTGTTGTTATCTGCTAGGATCTGCTTGTGAAGTCCCTTTGGGAGTAGTTGATCGACACTTGGTCGTCACCAGCGACGAGTAGCTTCGGGACTTAGACCCGGTAGTCCTTGGAACCAAAAATACTGGGTCGGGAGCTTCTATGTCTATTTGATACTATGAAATTCTTCACAAGTGACATTTTGATCTTTGTTGAAAGAGCCTTCTTTTGTTTGTTTAGGTTCGATTTTCAGTATAAAAGAACTACCATTGTTACAGGGCTCAGTTCTTTTGAAAGCGAGTTATTTTGATTCAAGGAGTTTAATGTACGACTATACAAATTCTGTCTATTTTTAGAACTTCTTATCATTATAATTTTCGAAATCGCATTTACGTTTCGAACTTTAATGGAACTTGAACCGTTTCTCGATTTTATTAATATGTAGATCAATATGTAACCACAAATCCATTTCCATCTATTTCATTTCGAATACAATAGATGATATGTCTTCCATTCCTTAGTGGTTCCTTTACATTTTATAAGAAAATTATGGATTAATAAAACGTATAAATATATTATATTACTAATAATGTAACTATCCTTTAATTAGATATAATAATACAGTTTAACCGCCAATTTCTTAAACATTAACCGTCTCAATGTCTTCAGCTGAAGCAACAGGTAATGTCATTGTTCTTTCAATGCATCACAGCGCATGTTCACTTTTAAGTGCATTCAACTTTTGTTTTCGACTTAAACACGGCCATACAATCAACAATTTTTTTTATTTTCCAATAAATAATATATTAACAAGAAATATAAATGCCTAAATATCTGAGTAAAATTGCTCATCAATACGTCAAAAGATCCATTTTACAATTTATACCGATAGCAGTTGAAAGTGGTAATATAAACGACTAAGTCTTCTGTTCCACAGACATCAGAAAGGAACTCGATTTCTGGTGCATTATCTGGCGGAATGTATATAATAGTACCACGTGAAAGCTCAAACTCAGCGTGTCCACTAAGACGCATCAAGCTTTTGCCATGCAAGGTCAACAGAATAGAGCTGTGTGGTTTCAAGGCCAGTTCATATTTTCTTGTTTGCGGAGGAATTCGAACTTTTATAATGGCAAAATCATCAACGGGTGGTGCGAAAACTTCGATATATTCATTAATACGTCTAGGCATAAAGAATTTTTCACTTGGTGGCAACCCGTCGTAGTTAAGGCACGCTGTCAGCTCACTAACGTCCTTAAATTTCGGTGTTAGTCCAGCACGTATGACATTGTCAGAGCGTGCCATAGCTTCGATGCAATCGCCAGATAAGTAAGCATGAATCTCATTTGCGCCCAAATAAATCGCATCGCCAGGCTTCAAATGCAATAGATTGAGAAAGAATAGCGAAAGCAAACCCACATCTCCCGGAAAATCATTTTGGACAGTAGTGAAAACATCAAAGAGTTTATGTGATTTTAACACTAAAAAAACAAATTAATTAAAATAACAATAACAGTAATAATAACAAAAACTAATCACCATCTACGTAATTTGTGGAAATTTCATCTAAGCAAGCACTGATTGCCTCCTGTTCTGAGGTCATAAGTTTTGTGAAACATTTGCGTAATCCTTTTTTTGCAGCCTCTTTGTCGGCATTCTGTAGAGTTTCGACCTGCTCATCTCCACCGATTAAAAGCTTTAAGGGTGGCAAACCTTGACAGATTGCGTAAATTTCCTCATACGGGCGAAAGCCACATAGAGCCGTAAAATCTGTTATTGCTATGGCAAGTTCTGGCTTGTGATTGTCATCTTTGTATATATCGGGATGTCTTCTATGTAAGCGCACTGCTAGTTCCTAAAAAAGAAATAGTTAATACATGTAGAATATTGTTTTTTCCATTAGTTGCCTTGTTTGGATGCACTTGTATACTGAGTGCCTTCTTAACGCTTAGCACTTTGAATAAAAAGCTAAGCGGCTTAGTCAGTATGGTACCCAAATGATCGCCTGTTGCCTTTAACACTGATGGGCCGCTTTCGTGATCTCCCATCCACAATTCGGCATATGGAGTTAGTGGTTCAATAACGAAGTCTTTATTGTTAATAGCCGCCAATTCAGCCACTACTGACTCACTGCCACAACGGCCCCATTCATAGGTTTTAATGTCACCTTCAAGTTCCATTTTGTGTTTTTTTTAATAAAATTTTAATCTTGCATAAGGATTTTAAACTTGTACATAAATTAGTAATTATTGGAATAAACAAAATTTGAATGACATTTCCTCTGATAAGGTCAAACTGGCTCTTATCAACGAACTACGAACAGCTGACAAGTCTCCAACTCTACCGTGATATAAGCACAGTGGTGGCTAAAAATATTATTCCTGTAAAAAAAAATAGGAAGTATTGTTTAGTAGTAATCGTGTAATACACAACAAAGGTTTAAAAAATATTTAAGTGTTTCTAATACTTCAAATTTAAAATTAAATTGTTCAAATATTTTATAAATAGTTTATTAATTATAAGTTTTTCACAGTTAACTTTGTATAAATTATTTTATTACATCAAATAATTTCCCTGGTTAATCCCAATCCCAATAATCTCATACACTTATTTGTCGCAAATTGTTATATTATATACTATTTACCTATAAAAGTTGTGCGACGTAGGCTATGATAATATGGAAATAAAAAATGTTTGCAAAAAATATGATTAGTTTGTGAAGTAAATTATTAATTAATTATAAATTAAAAACTTTGTCTTGTACAGTACAAACTTATATTGAATTTACATGAGAGCTGTGTTTGTGATTTCAGCTGTCAATTGTTGTTGCTATCAATGCTAAATGAGCATTTTTCACAGTTAAAATTTTCATTTTCCATTGAAAACAATAACAATGCATAAATTAAATTACAAAGATGAGAGCTAAAACTACAAACATGACAGTTAAAATTACAAAGAAAATTCTTGTGTGAATCCTGTCTTAAGTATTGTATTTTCCATATTAATATGAAGAAAATCAGGGCCTGCTTAATAGTGTTGACTTATTTTAATGATGAATGTCATCTGTAAATTTCATCGATTCTTTGTGCTATTTTTGTAATTTCATAATCAATAAAAATCACGAATGGTAAACTGTTCTGAAACTATGTTTTCACTGTTTAGGCAGTATCTAGGCAGTTTTACTAATTAATAAGGATAATTTATCGTACAAAGAGCATTTATATAAATGAGCTCATTATAAACAAATCAGCTAATTTGAGGCGAAAAATGTCGAATGAAACCCTTAAAAATAAATTACCCATAAGGCAAATTACCAAAATTTGAAATATTTGCACTATGTTTTATATATGTAAATAAACTAGCCGTTTCACAAGCAGAAATTAGCTTGTGCTATGGAAATGATGAAATGTTGATTTAATTAACATAACTAATTTTATTACCAGTGGAAACATGATATTAAGCATTTCATACCTCAGGGTTTCCATTGTCTATAGGATTTATTAAACTTTCTTTGTTTGTTTGTCTTCTTCGATATGCTAATATTCCATAACCGAACAAAAACAGACTTTGCCTTGCTTAATACTTATTAGTAAAATGCTATATTTCAATACTATTTCTGAATTGAACATTGCGGACTTATTGCTTTTATTTTTGCCTGATTGTCTACAAAGAGTGTGGTACTTGAAGCTCGAATCCTACTTTTTTGTATTAATTTGGTCGCACTATCTATTTTATACACCTTAGCTTGAAAAACACCTCCAAAATCAAAGACATGATGTGGAGTTCTTACCTTTATCTCTCCCGGGTAGATATCTGTGCTTGCATTTCTCTCAATCCTTGAGTTGTTTATGTATATAGTGACTTCAAAGTAAGTTGATATATAATCCGATCCTCAGCTTTGCCTGATTAAGGGTTGGAGTTCTAATTTCAAAGTCTAGAATGGATGTCAAAAGAATTTAACATTATAAAGCATAAATATTTATATAGCTAACATATTTCAAAACAGGACTGCTAGCTTTACGTGCGATATAACCAACATTTGTATATCCTTAATATCAAATTTGAATAAGGTGAGATATCCATTAAGGTTTTCAACTCGACGGTTTGATATTTTCTTGTTTAATGCAGTAGGTGGAAAGCATCGACAGCCATGTTGTGAGATTTTACATTAATTGTAGGCTCTGTGACCGGGTCACAAAGGCCACGATTAAAGAGTGGGGCATCTGAATTCTTTTATCGATGCATTAGGGAAATTTCTGTGAGGGCTTGTGGTGTATGGCTTACAAGAAGTCAGAAGAATGGATGTTGTTGGTTGAAATGTAGGGGTTATGCAGCTGAATGGGGTTATGGGGAGAGCACGAGCGGATCAGTTGCCTATAATAGAGGAGTTTAACTTTACAGTTAATCTGATAACGCCTTTGTAGGACATTTTTTAGTTGAATAAAAAAATATTAAAGTTTCCGATATAGAGAGCAATAAAATAGATGATTCACGTTTGATTCCACAAGAAAGCACTGTGATCAAAATTCCAAACTTGAAATTTTAAGGATGCTTGGTAAAGAGAAATCAGAATGAGTGTACTATCTGAAAATACTTTTTCATATTATAACACCGTAAAATTATCTGCTATCAACAATATGAGATGAACTGTCTTTGATTAATACTTATTGACTCTTCTTGTTAACTATTGGACACGATTTCGATTTCACGAGTATAGATGTTAGTTAAGACACCAATTTTTACTCAATTTTCAAGTACTCTAACATCCTTTACTACTTAAGGTTTATTAGTCTATATCTCAAGAAGGAAGCATAACATATCAGTATTTAGGTTGTGGGTAGAAATTGCAGATGGTTTTACTAAAATCTATTGTCAATTCAGTGTGCTCGTGAAATCATAAATTTAAAAACTGGCATATATTTTCCTTTTCTACGTTTATTGATGTAAGATACCGCATACTTACTACTGTTAGTCAGTATCTGCTTTAGCAGTTGTAACAATAGAGATTAATTATAAAAAGGGGGAGGGAGGGATATCAGTTTACTTGATTTTCAAATGTTTGTCATTCACCCAAATTATATTTTTTGCCCAACTCTCCAAGCCTCTCTCGAGTAGCTACTCTCTGATCTTTAATCTCTGTCCTTCCAAACATTTTTTCGAGTTAACAAGTAGAATTAAGGATAAAGAGATAGAGGGAGGGGTATTAGTTTACTTGATTTTCAAATGTTTGTCATTTACCTAAATTATATTTTTTGTCCAATTCTCTAAGCTTCTTTCGAGTAGCTACTCTCTGATCTTTAATCTCTGTTCTTTCAAACATTTCTTCGAGTTAACAAATAGGAAGTAGTTGTGGGGAGACAATGCATTGTTTTTATAGTGGATTATTCCATTATTTTGTTTTTTTTTTAAATATTTTTCAAACGATATAATGAAACGGCGTGATTATCATTATTGATCGTTGGGTTTTATAAAAGTTAATCGTTTTGATCAATATCGAATATGCATCCACGAAATGAAGTTAACTTATAGATTTGGTATTATTGGTACTTAGTTTTGATTAAATTCAAGATGTTTATATTACTTCATATTAATAATAAAAACAAGACGTTCTTTGACTTGAGTATATAACAAGTATGGCGTATATTGATGTATTATGTACTATATATATATATGTACTATATATGTACTATGTACATGTTGACAATCTAGATGGTTTCTAAAATATCAGTAAGGGTTTGTATTTAAATAAGTATTTGTATAGTCAATATCTAAGTATATATAAAAGATATATGAATTATAAAGGGCAAATATATGTATGTCTCCATCATTATATCACAAAGAACTTGATAAACTTAATGGATTCTCTATACCGATTGTATGAAGGGCACAAAAATTTTTTAAATCTTTTTAAATACTGCAAATTCATCATTTTTATCATCTTCCCTAAGCTGTTCAGAGTCGAAAACAAAAAAAAATCCATGCAATTATTTGAATTGAATTAAAAAGTAATTAATCAATCCATCGGCTTGCAATTTCTTTCAAATTACCGACCTGTGAAATTTGTTTACTTATGACTTTGCTTCACGTTTTTTCTGTTATTTTTTTTTTTTTTTGGCTTTAAAGTCTTAAGTTTATGAGATAAAATTCGCAGAGTCCCTTTGATTAATTGGATTGACATGTGACGTTTGTCAATCTCATTTCGTCGTCAGTGGGCTTATGTTTTGGAATTGGCCCCGATTTTTGGACTTAACACATTTAGTAATTCTCCAGTGTTTTTAATTTTTTAATTTTAATTATAAGAATGTCATAAAATATTTTATAGTCAATACTAAATTTTTTTTTGATATTAGGATAACACTTCAGATTTTATTAGAAGTACAACTCATGGTCAAAGGAATAACAGGTACAATTTCAATAAATTATTGAAATATTTGTAATCATTACAAAATAAAACGAAAAGCCTTTCAGGCCTCAGCAAAACCTACAGTTCGTATACTTATTGGAGTACTAACGGGGCACCGTGCAATTGCGCCTATGCTCCAACGGTGACGAGTTCCAACAAGTGGATTATGCAGGAGTTACTAAAATGAAGAGGAAGTAGAATCTATCAACCACTTCCTGTGTCTCTGTCCAGGACTGCAGACAAGGCGACTTCAATGTCTTGGGAATCGCTTTTTCACTCTCTTGGAAGAGAAACCGAAAGCAAACTTATCGGATCTTTTCAACTTCATCTGAAAAACCAAATGGTTCAACAAGGATAACAAAGGTTAGCAAGTCGGCAAAATTTTTGAGGGCATCACAATAGGCAATATATGCCTCCGATTTGAAGTGCTGACAACTGTCGGCACGCGCCTTCTGAACCTAACCTAATCTATCATTATAAATAATATACAATATACTAGTTGTTAAATTATTGTCTCTATAGGTCTTTAAAACATGATACTTTCGTTTTGGACTATATTATTTTTTGGAAAGATGTAAGTGTCGGTTTTTAAAAAACATGTATAATATTTTACCGGTTCTTGTGAAACACTCAATATTCTTCCAGTTCCCTGAACATTTTGGTTTAAGTACCTTACTGAAGGATACTATTTATAATGCATGAAGAATTAATCAATTATAAAGATTACTTTTTATATTGACATATATTATATATTGTATTTTCAGGAACTTCACATTTTTTTCCTTTTTCATTAGTTTTTGCATTAGGAAACTGCGTTTATTTATGGGATGATATCAATACAATAAATCGTTTGGTCAAGCAATAGTAGTTCTTAAAGAATATTTTTACAATTCCATCAAACATTACCTTTTGTATTAACATTCGGCTGTCAATAAAGAGGAATCATCTATCTTCAATAGATATATGTACTTATTTGTATGTAATCAATTTAATGTCACCTACTACTATACGTTGAGAAAGTGGATTAATTTGGTTTTGTTTCAACATAGATGCA